ATATCAGATATTTTTATCCTATATGTATGAACTGTTTCTTCATGAAACTAATAGCTGTGTGCTATTGAATCTGGCCATACACATTCAAAGGAATTAATTTTCGGAACGTTTATTCAATTTTCTAATAGGTAATGGGGTCGATTCGGCGATCTCTTTCGATCTCTTTCGACCGTAGTGGCAAAAAAAAAAAATTTGAAGGGTGACATTTTTTTCTTGAAAGAACAAAATGCGTTTTTTGTTTGGGGAACTTAATTAATTCCAAAATCGAATGTTAAGAAGAACTCGGAGATCCCCGCTCCTGTGGCGGTGACAACTCACCTCTAGCTCACCCTCTGCTCCAGCTGTGTCTTCGCATCTAATAGGCTTTAGGCTAGGTCAGAAATGGGCAATCCCGGGAAGCGCGTCCCGGGGGCCGCGCAATCGTGAACAATTGCACTCAGCGATTGGCACACGGCCCTATTGATTTAAATGGGGTTACATCTGCGCAGCAAACGTTAAAAAAAAGTACATGTACCTGTCACGCGGCTCTTTTATCATGTTCAATTGCACGGGTAATATCGCAAGGGGGAAACCGGCCCAGCGCAACTGGGGTGCCATCAGTAAATAATGGCACCGCAAGCGCGATCGTCGGTGGTGGGCGATTCCGTGACTGTGCGGCCATCCAAGCGGTTTTGTGCACGATTGCTGCGCAGTCATGGATTGCCCTCTTAAGGTTAGGTTCACACCATTTCTGGAGCACATCTGCAAACACAGTGCAGTGTCTTTTTGATGCATTCCGGTGCCTTTTTTTGTTTAGCTTAAAATGGTCTTTCAGGTGCAGTCCAGTGCGTTCCAGTGCCCTTGCATGCATTTTGTATGTGTTTACATACGTTCCAGACCAGAAAAAATAGTACATGCAGGAACGGACTGCACTGGTGTGAACAGAGCCCAGAAATACCATAGGAATACATTGGGATGCATTTCAGGTGCGGACAAAAACTGTTCTGGTCCGGACATGATGTGAACAAGTTCTTAGACATGATGACGTCACGTGTCCTTAGACCACCGGAGCCAGGGGGAGAAAAGGCTGCGGGGACCGGTCTAGAAGCCAGGTGGGACCCAGGATCAGGTAAGTATAATTTCTTTATTTTAGCCCCTAGACCAAAATGAGCAGTTAACCCTTGCAGTGCATTTTTACATTTCCTGGAGTTCTTTAAAACCAAACTAAATTTTGAGAGCCATTTGTCAGGTCTGATGGCATTATCGAATGTCCTGTTGAGATTTTTCAAATTAATGTTTGTATGGAAATCTACCGGGGTATGGCCCACTTAATACATCAGCTTTGAGGTGACACCTCGAACACATTGGATATTTTTCCAAAGTTTGAACTAACAATGGTCTCAAGTCTCCATTGTGTTCCAGGAGTTTGGTAAATACCTTCTAAGTGTTCACACAACACCAGAAAAATGTTCAGAAATCTTTTCGGCACCCCTAGAATGTGAAATCCCCATACAATTCCATTTCCTGACACCTACATGGCAGCATACAATGGGTATGGCTCCGCCCCATTGTATGCTGCCATGTATTGGCATCAGGAAAGGAAAATTACTAATAGGTAAATATACAATTTTCAATTATCTCCTCCTCCTCTTTATCTAAGGGAAAGGGATTGTGGGTAATAGATATATTTTATTTTCTATTTTTATCAAATGTATATTTAATTTTTTGACTTAAAAAGGTCACACTTAACAGAACACTTAATAAACACTTGCCTGATTCTTCCATTAGGTCACACGAGGGCGTATGTCGACCGTCAGAAATGATCGGAAGCAGATACAAAATAGGTAACGCGGCACGCTTTTACGTGTTTTAGCAAGACGCTTCCGGTAGACGCTGCAATGTATTGTGCTGCTAATTAACGTTGGTAAACGGCGTTCTGTGCGCTCACTGCGTCAACGCCTGACCTGAACGCCTGTGTGTACCCGACCACAATCTTCTACTAACCATGATCAGACAAAGCGCGGTGGAAGACGTCAGCCCGGGTTCTGTTAGCTGATTGGTCTGGAGGGTAACATAAACAGCGCAGGTTTAAAGGAAGACATTTCCGGCTGATCTGTCAGTTTGGTTGATTAGCTGGAGCTCCCAGAATGTCCTGAGCTGAGTATTAGTGAAGGAGCTGATACCAGACAGAGAAGGGTAGAAGGACATTGACACACATGCTCAAATCTATAATCCGCTATTCGTGGGGGTGTCTCCAATCTACACACATATTGCAATCTATATTCCGGCACCACTGGGGGTCTCCCATCTACACACATATTACAATCTATATTTCGGCACCACTGGGGGTCTCCGATCTACACACATACTGCAATCTATATTCCGGCACCCCTGGCGGTCTCCGATCTACACACATATTAAAATCTATATTCCGGCACCACTGGGGGTCTCCAGTCTACACACATACTGCAATCTATATTCCGGCACCCCTGGCAGTCTCCGATCTACACACATATTAAAATCTATATTCCGGCACCACTGGGGGTCTCCAGTCTACACACATACTGCAATCTATATTCCGGCACCCCTGGCAGTCACTACTACAATCCATAATCCAGCATCCCTGGGGGGGTCCCTACTGTAATCTATAATCCAGCACCCCTGGGGGGTCTCCAGTCTCCACACATACTGCAATCTATAATCCAGCAGCCCTGGAGGGGTCTCTGATCTACACAACACACATACTGCCATCTATAATCCAGCACCCCTGGAGGGGTCTCCGATCTACACACATACTGTTACCTATAATCCAGCACCATTGGAAG